CGCATTTCTCCGTGTCGCCTCCCACTTTCAGATTTTGCTCACAAGGCTGGGTGTGGTTGAGTTCCATGGAATGGGTGTGTGCACATGAGTGTTGGGGATTGGGGAGACATGTGTGCACTTAGTGTTCCCAGAAGCTCGATTTCAAAAATTAGGGGAGTCTGGGAGTAATGCCCAGAAACACAAGAAAAAATCGTCTTTTCTCAGTCTCCATCCAGGCAATGAGGAACTTTGCTCCTTGGGACTAGTCCAAACTGCTCTCTGGCTTGCGACATTTTCTCAAACTGAAAAACCTATTTTCTGGTAAATATTCCTTCACTACTGCTAACAGGAGAAACTGGAAGTTACAGAGGTTGATGTCAAATTTAATATTATTTAGTTAAAAAAGCATTTACTAAGACCTTTCCTGGTGTCTGGTATTTTATCAGACCCCGCGGAGAACATAAAAATTCAGCAAGACTCTCACTCTATTATAATCAACTTAACATGAAAATAATTAGCATCAAAGTATGGCTGGGTTTGTGGCAGAAATTCAAAGGAGACTCTATCACAGCGACCATCTGGATTGGCTTTTTGGAGAAAGTGGTGGGTGTGACGGGACTAAGGATGAGTAGGATTTGAATAAAGTGAGGACCAACATGTGAGGCATGTTGACAATAGCAGGTCATGGGTTCTTCTGGAGAACTTGAGCAGACTAGTGGCTGGAATTGTTTGGGGTTATATATGGCAATCGCTTAAATACCACTTTGAGCCAGAATTGAATATTGCCTTAACAAATGAACTCTGAAATTGGCTAGGCCTGGGTTTGAAACCTGGCTTCTCTCCTGCAATCTTGGATAATTTACTTAACCATTATCAACCTCAGCTTCCTGAAACAGGTGGATAATACATACCAAATAAGGAGGTATTGAAGATAAAATCATATAATTTATTCATTCAGGCAATGATCTTGAGGCCAACTTTGTACCAGGTATATAGAATTCAAAAGTTCTAGGCACTGAAGTATAAATGTAAGCAGACAGACAGAAACAATTCTGTAAATTGTCTACTACATGGAAAACAATCAATAAATGATAGTTTTTAATTTGATGCTTTAAGCTTTATGAGAGAGGAGCCGAAGTGGTAGGAATTGTGAATAGGAGTATGGATCTGTCCTGGGCAAGTAGGATGGAGTGGGGCTGGGCAGAGAGACCAGCTACAAAGTTATTCTAACAGTCCACATAATGACCATGTAAACTAGGGTGGGGGTAATGGAAAAGAAAACTGCTGAGGGGGCGGGTTCAATATGGCACATTCTCCCTGAGAATTTTATACCAACATATCCAGGAATAGTTCAGAGTTCTCAGTCTCGCCCATCACGAAAGAACCATCACTAGACTTTCCATTGAGTATATATTAAGACAGCCTGACCTTTATTTACTTCTGAGAACAGCAGTTTTCCCAGGATCCCAGTTGGGAAAGAGGCTTATAAATAAACCATTTTGCTTGTTCACTGAACTAGACTGTCATTCGCGATGATGTGCTGACTCAGGTGATGCTGAGTGAATTGGAATGTTAACATGAAGGTCTTTGAGGGCAAAAGAAACAACACAGCTCTTCCCCTTAAGTCAGAGGAAGTAAAATTGAGGAGGCTGTGGTTTCGGCTCATTAAATGATCTCCAGGGTATTCATCAAATGCCTCGTCAAGAGTTTTATTATCGATAAAAGGATTCTCTTTCCTCTAATCGTATATACCTTAGAGCCTAGGAAATTGCCTGTTCTAAAGGTAAATAAACCACCAGATCCCCTCCCTCCCTCCCTGAATATAGGACTTTGATTTTTAAGTCATAAGCTCACTTGGAGAAAGAACAATAGGAATAACAAACAATGTTTACAGAGCTCTTACCATATGCTGAAGCGCGTACCATTTGCTAGGTGCATTACACACATCTGAATGAATCAATTCAATTAACAATGTATGAAGGACCTATTATGTATCCCTCTGTGATGGACTCTAAAAACTTACCTAGGAATAAGAGAATAGCTGTCATCAAGGAAAGACCAACACCCTCTTAAAGTAGAAGCTCACAAGGAAATGCTAAACCATACTTTCCCAGTAGAATACTAAGAGCTTGACCACAGCCTACTCTCTGCCCAAATCACCCTCCCTCTCTCAATATCCTGGAAACCTTCCAGGAAAATTGCAAACCCTGGACACCCTCCCCCTGTTTTCCAAGTCAGGACCTCCCTCCCCTTTCTGGCTTCATCAACTTTTGCTCCTTTTTTGGCGGTTTCTGGTTCACTCTTACCAATACCAACAGATCACTTTGCCTCTTACCTCCCACTTCTCCACCCTGCCAGGGAGCTCAGTAGTATAACTTAGTGAAACAAGAGAATGAGCACTGGCCTGGGGTCATAGCACCTTGGTTCAAATCTTGGCTCTGACTTTTATATCCTTGTGACCTTGAGAAAGATCTTTATCCTCTCTGAGCCTCATCTGTAAAATGAGAGTGAACAGTGGTTCACAAGCTAGTGTAATAGTTCTATGCGATTATAGGTACATAGATAAATATAGAGATATGCGTACATGTATATATCAATATATATAGGTACATACATGTATATATCTATTTGCATGTATATACATGTGTACATATTAATATATACATATATAGTTGATGACATAAATCACAATCTGTAATTAACTCAATTATGCATTAATTTGCCTATGTATCGCTCTGTTTCTTGCCAAAAAATTGCAAGCTCCATCTGGAAAGAAAACTCTTCTCTCTTGCTGTTGTCCCATCTCAATGCCTAGAACAGTGTCTGGAACACAGTAGGTATTCAATAAATATTTTTGTAAGAACAAATGAATAAATTGTCGATGCTCAATAAAATTTGTTTCTTTCTGAGCTTCCAGCAAGCACTAGGAAATTGTTGCTTCTGTTTCCCAGCTGCGACCTATTGCAGGAAAATTGCAGAATCATGCTAATTGACTTCATAACAAATTTCCAATCTTAGCCAAGCTCTAAGTGTTTCTTGACAATCCTTTATCATGTGTCCACTCAATTTCCTTTGTTTTTTCCAGAGCAGCTGTTTCTAACCATCACCTTTTTCCCTGACTTCTCCAGTCCTCCAGTCTACTCCCTTTTGTCCATCTACAGAGAAAAATAAGATCCCCAATAACTTCACTCAGCCTTTCCCATCCCTCCTGCCTTGTGGTGGTTAATTTTATGTATCAACTTGACTGGGCTGAGGGGTGCCCAGATAGCCGGTAAAACATTATTTCTGGGTGTGTCTGTGAGATGTTTCTGGAAGAGATTAGCGTTTGAATCAGCAGACTGAGTAAAGTCACTGCAACGTGGGTGGGCATCACCCCATCCGTTGAGGGCCTGAATAGAATGAAAGGACAGAGGAAGGGTGAATTTGCTCTCTGCTTGAGCTGGGACATGCATGTTCTCCGGCCCTCAGACAGTTGTTCCCCTGGTTCTCAGCCCTTTAGACTGGGCCTGGATTACACCACCAGCTTTCCTGGGTCTTCAACTTACCGGCAGCAGACCATGGCACCTTGCCGCCTCCATAATAACATGAGTCAATTCCTAGGATAAATCTCCTCATAAATATATCCTATTGGTTCCATTTCTCTGGAGAACCCTGACAAATACATGTCTCCTTTTAGAACTTCCTCCAACTCTCTCCCACCTTCAGTTTCTCTTTTTCCCCCTCAGTCTACATGAAAATTCCCTCTACTAATCTCTGATGGACTTGTTCAAGGACTTTAACCCCTATCAGCTTCAAAAGTGCCAAAGAAAACACAAATAAAGGCAGACTGTGAAAAAGACAGAAGGAAAGGTCGTTTCTTAAGGATTAACATGAAACCCGTAGGTGAGCAAGAACCAAGGCCTGAGGATATAAAAAGTGGTCTTCCTGAACAAGGCTATCCTTCTTGGCAGCACATAGACCCTGAGATACAGAAGAAACAAAACACAAATTTCAGATGGAAATACTATCTTGGATTTATACAGTCCATTAAAACGATGTTTGTACATGATGGAACCACACGACAATCCTTTAAAGACTAAGGAGCAGGGGTTGTTATCCCCACGGTATAAAGGAGGAAACAGAGGCTCAGAGAACTGAAATGACTTGCCCAAGGTCACAACCTTCCTAACTTCCATGGTTGCAACTGGACACCAGATCTTCTTACTCAAAATCCCAGCTCTCTCCACAAGACCCCTCTGACCTCTGTTGGCTTTAGCCGATGACCCAGACCCACAGAAAGCTGTTTTATGTTCCAATTTAGCCCTGGTCCTTTCTTCCATGACTGAATCCCTAAAAGGCTATGATTCCAGAAGCATCTAGCATCACAGTTAAGCATACCATCTCAGGAGCAGTCTGCTTGCTTTCAACGCCTGTCTATAGGAACCAGTAGCTCCGCAATGTTCAAGCAGTTTTTTTAAATCTAATTGCCCCTCATCTGTGAAATGAAGTGTATGTCCAAATCATACACTTATCTGAAGATAAAATGAACGAATACATGTAAAGCACTTAGAACTGTGCCTGGAATACAGAAAGAACTCCATACATGTGACCTATTCTTAGGTAACCTGGGAATGCGTGATGAAGTTTTCCTTCCTCTGTGTAACATTGTGGTTCACTTTGAACAGAGGGAGTCAGAGACACATTTTTCAAGAGCCTGCTAAGTGCCACCTTAGTTTTTCTCGACTCTGTCCTGATGTGCTTTGCCTGATTTTGGAAGTATTGATGCAATTCCTCAGTTCTGCTTTGGCAGGTTCTCTGACATGGTGGGCCACTTCTGAGTTGGTCCCCTTTGTGTCTCTATAAACATTTCTCCTATACTTCCTTGGCAGGAAGAATTTATATACCAAATGACACAATTGACTTGGTCAAGATGATCCTAATCTAATCACATGAGCCTTTAAAAGAAGGGAATTTCTTTAGCTGACGGCAGAAGAACTCAGAAGGATTCCAAGTGTAGGAAGGAATTGACAGGCTTTTGCCCGTTTGAAGGCAGAAGGGGCCACCTGAGAAGGAATGTGGGCAGCTTCTAAGAGCAATCAACAGACCCTGGCTGACAGCCAGCAAGGAAGCAGGCCCCTCCATCCTACACCTGCAAGGAACTGAACTCTGCCAACACCTGAACCAGCTTGAAAGCAGGTTCTCCCCAACGCCTCCAGAGGACAGGCCAGCTGGCCCAAACCTTCTTTTCAGCGTTGTGATGCCCTAAGCAGAGCCCAGCTTAGCCTGCCCGGAACTCCTGACCTACGAGACTGAAAGAACATAAATGAGTGTTGTGTTAAAATTTTATGTCTGTGACAATTTCTTTTGGCAGCGATAGAAAACTGACAGGCAGCCAGGAACCTGCCAATCTACTCTTCGGGGAAACATTTGTGTTCTGGAAGGGACTTAAATCTCTTTCACTTGGAAATGCGAAATCTTTACTCTGAAGCTGATGCCTCTGCTGAGTGTCTGACGATTGGGGAGGAAGGACAAGAAATGTCTGAGACAGAGACACTGCAAAATCAAGGCCTCCAGGTAGGATTTTGGTACTTTGGAGATAAAACTACTGCTATTTGTATATGACATTTAGAAATATTTTTAATTTATACTTTGAGTCGATGACTTTGTGGAAGACTCTGGAATTAGATGCTCTTGCCACCACCAACCAGCTGTGTAACCTCGGATAAAACACTTGCCTTGACAAGCCTCCCTTTTCATATCTGTGAAATGGGGAGAGCAACAGCACTGAATTTAATGGTGTGTGGTGAGACTTAAATAAGAATATTTATGAAATACTTCCTTTAACACCTGGCACCTATTAAGTGCTAAATAAATGGTTATAATTATAATTATTCATGTGTTCATTCAAAAAGTATGTCTTAATCATCTCCTCTATGCCAGGCATTGCTAGGCAATATAAGACACAAATATGAATAAGGAATAGGCTCTGCTCTCAAAGATCTCTCAGGGTGGTGCAGTATGTCCATATGTATCCTTTTCATTTATTCATATATGTAAATTTTCGTGTGTGTGTTGGGGGTGCGGGTGGTGTGAACACGGCGTCCCCTAAACCCACCAAGAACAAAGCATTGCATTCAAACCTAAGGGGAGGGTGGGGTTGCAGACCCAGCCATCCATCTTTCTCCTTCTCCTCAGAGGTAGGCGGCTGTTTACTCTGGGAACACTGACGAGATGACTATTAAATCGTTTCAGAGTGGTAGAACTGGGAGGTCCCAGCAAGGCCTCCCCATTCTGGCACAACGAGGGATGTTATGCCTCAGACATGCAGACAGGCATGCCACAGAAAAAGGGCTCCCTGTGCCAAATCACTTTGCCGGGTCCTACTCTCTGATGGGGAAGCAAAAAGTGATCCATCAACTTGGTTTTCTGGGAGTCCCAGAGCTCCTCAAAATAGACCCATTAGCTGAAAGGATAAATATTTACCCTGGGCTCATCTGAATAACCCAGAAAAGGGACTCTGTTTTGTATCAGTAATAAAAAACACTCCTACCTAAGCTTGGATTTAGAGCTTTTTGTCTTTAAATCTTCTCTGTGTTGAACCACTCAAACTTCCTGTGAGAAACTAGGTTAGGATTTCCTCATGGCCTCCTAGCAGGGCTAGGGGTGGGGGAGTGCTCCTGAACACAAAGGGAAATGCTCTGACAGGAGGGGAATGTTTTCCTTTACTAAGCAAAGTATGTGTGGCCTCAGCCTGGTTCCCAGTACACAGGTAACTGAAATATTTGCCCTTGGGAGAGAAGGTGCAGAATGTTCTCTTAAAATGCTCCAACTGGTGAAATTAGAGATTTTAGATAAACAGCTTTGGAGGGACCCCATTTCCTGAGCTATGCTTTGATCACATGACAACAGCGCCAGTGAAAACACTTTTGTTATCCTTTCAAGGGAGATGTTCGAGAAAGAACACTTGCCTGGGTCAGGGAGGTGAGGATATGGGCGCGATGTGGGGAGGAGGGGTGGCGGGGTCTGGGATGGAAGAACCGAAGGAGATGGGGTGGGGGCTGCTCACAGACAAACCTGGGGTGCTTAGATTTCACATCCTCCAGGCCCACTTTCCCTTTTTACCTCCCTCTCCCACCACCTTTCTGGAAGCTGGCCTGAGCTGGCAGAAAGAGCTCAGACTGTAGAAGCAAAATAACTGTCTTCAAGCACAGGCCCCATTCAGGGCCTGGAATATAACAGACACTCAGAAGAGGCAAAATGAATGACAGGTTCCACCATTCTTTCCAACGTAAGGATGTTCTTTCGCCCTCTGAGCTTCAGGCTCTCTATCTGCATTATTGGGATAATGCTCACCTCCAGGGTTGTGTAAAGGTAAACAAGCAGATACATGTGTATGTACCTAGCACAGATGCTGGTGCACTATGAGGGCCTAATAAGTGTTAATCTTATCATTAAAGGGCTTGGGAAATTGGCAAATGTGTTGGAACCAGATTACTAGCAAACTGTCGTCCCAAAGGCTTACACAGACACTCAGGCTAAGGTTTGCAGGAGAGGCCGTGCAAACCTGGACCAGGTGCAGATAAACCTCCTCCTTTGAGAGAGTGTGTACCCTCAGTCACCAGCCTTCCAGCGTCTCTGTCATACAGGGCCAACTAGCTTCAGAGATTTGGGCAGAGGCTGCCCACGCACTCCAGGGCAGTTTCATATCCTGTAGACACGATCAGAGGATTGTCAACGTAGCGCTAAATGGGAAAGCCCTTCTCTGTCCCTAGTCTATTGATAATATACATTTTGTCTCTCTCACCATAGTGGAGACTGCTGGGCTAGTGCCCCACCACAGCGTAGGCAACTCTAGTGGTATAGTAATAAGTATTCAATTAAAATTGTAATGGAATTAATTAATAGATGAAAGAATGAATGAAGGTAAAAATGTGATAATAAACCTCTGCAATCTTCTTGTGGGTTTATAACGTGCCTTCTGACTCTCCCTTATTCCCATAGGTCACTTAGCTTCCAGGTTGCTATAGGATTACGGTAGTGCCCCCTTACCAGCAGGAGATACATTCCAAGACCCCTGTGGAAGCCTGAAACAGCAGACAGTATAGAACACTATAGTAGTCCCTACTTATCCATGGTTTTACTTTCCTCCTTATTCCTGGTTTCACTTTCCACTTTTCGCTTATTCGACCATGGATAACTGAAACCGTGGAAAGTGAAACCGTGCATAATGGGGGATGACTGTACTTGAATTGCTTTGCCATCATACAGCGGCTTTGAGTATCACAGATGCTGGCAAGTGAATTTGCATGGCCTAGTCACAACTGGAGAGGTGTTTGGGGAAGAGGAGAAAGGCCTGGTTGTCCATCAATGTCACTATTGTTGCATAATGATGCTAATCTTGCTCTTATCTTCACATCTGCTGTGGCCTGTACCCACATTCCCCCTAAGACCCAAGGAATTGGGATGCCTTTCCCACTTGTGACTCCACTGCAGGGCAGCTTTCCCATCTGTTTTCTTCCCACCTCATAATAAAAATTTTTCCCAGAGAGTCCAATGAATCTTTCTCAGATTCCAGGAGAGACCATATCCTGTCTCAGTCTTGGGTTGTTTGTTTTAATGGCCCTTGAGTTTTGATCCTACCAGCTGATCATAATGGAAAGTGAGTATATTATTTTAATATATTTATATCGTTACTCTATATATAAATATATTTTCTCATATTAATATATTTATATTTAATGTTCTTGCATATATTTAATATTTTCATTCTTTCCTTATTTCTAAAGACTGATTGAGTGTATAGTTTATTCAGGCCTTTCTTATAAACACAATGAGTGAGGATCCTGACATTATGGAGTTTATACCCTACAAGGGGATGTATGTAATAGATAAGTAAGCAAATGTGCATCTAAGCTCGGATATGTTAAACGCTAAAAGAAAATAAACTGAGGACTGAAGAGCTTCCCTTCAGACTATTTTTTATTCTATCACTCATTCATCAATCATTTAAGTGCTTACCAAGCATAAACATTCTTTCTTTGTGCTAAAGATAAAGCAGTGAACAAGATATAATCTTTGTCTCCAGAAGCATATACGCAGCCAGAAGGTCATAAGTTAAATATCAAATTGTACAATTAATTGTTTTAAAGAAGAAGTATAGGGTGCTAAGAGAGTATAAAGCAAGGCATTATAACGTAGTCTCAGGCTGTCAAAAAATGCTTCTTGGTAGATAGAGGAATGTCCACCAATGAATTATACCTTGCTCTATGCACACCCTTTCGAAGCCACCTTCTACAGGGACCCTAGGCTTGGCCATGCGCTTAGCTTTGGTCAATGGGACACAAACAAACCTAAAGCGCCAGAAGTGTGAAAAGCACTTGTACACTGGAGCTTACCCTCTCTTGATACTGGGAAATCTCCTGCCACCACATGAAGAAACCCAGGCTGATCTGCAGGAGATATGTGGCCCAGCCAGCACCTGACACCCAGGGACAGGCGTATGAGTGAGGACGTCTTAGACTCTCCAGTCGCAGTTGAGATGCCAATTACTGCAGCTGTATAAATGACCCCAAGTAACACCAGCAGAAGACCCACCTAGCTAAGCCTCATCCAAACTGCTGATCCAGAGACTTGTAAGCAAATTGAATTGTTACTCTTTTAAGTCCATAAGCTATGGGGTGGTTTTCTATGCAGCAAAAGGTAGTTCATATAGAAATAGATACCTAGAAGGGTGCTTTTTTCATACAAAAATCTAACACACAAGTTATGAGCTTTCAGACAGGGCAATACGTGGCGGATGGAAAAGTGAGGAATCTGCTATCAAAGACATGAAAAATGGTGAAAAAAATTTTGTAGAGTCTGGAGAAGTGCTAAGGAAACTGGTTTTAGAAGTTGGAAAACAGTTGATTTGTTTTATGTTGCTGTGCCAAACTGTCATCTGAGTTAACTGGAAGAAAAAATATTCCTAATGAATTTGCAGATCTGGCTAAGGAGATCACCAGGAAGAATGTTGAAAGTGTTGATTGGCTGCGTTTTGCTGCATATGGTAAGGTACAGAAAGGGAGAGATGAGCTAAAGAGAGAACTATTCACTTTGCAAACAGAATTTAGAGGGCCTTTTTGCTGTAACCAAGACTTTCTGAGTTGGAAAATAAAACTATTTCACAGCTTTTTTTTTAAAGTGAAAAATGGCCTCAGACTAAATATCAAATCAAGGGTGTAGTTATATGATTCTTTGTTAATATCTCTAAAAGGTTTAAAGAGGTTATGCTTACTAGATCCTCTCAGTGAGACAAAACTGCTCCTAAGAATCTTAATGGCATGTGCCTACAGAAGCCTAATCTCAAAATAGCCCTAAGTCTAGTGTGAGAAGGCTATATCAAAAAGAATTGTGGACATGGATTTTGCCTAATAGAATGTAATGTGATACATAGCAAACACAAAATGGTTTTAAGGGAGTTAAACAATCTAAGATTAAAGGAAATAGAGACCTTCTTCTGAACCCCCATTTTTCTTTGAATAAGTAGCATTTTAAAAAACCCTCCAAGCCACAATTCTTTTTAAGAGGTGCTATCT